CTCAGCTATGTGAGCATCTGACCTCGTACGTTCGAGGAGAGCATCAAATTGTGCTTGGCCCCTCGGCATGTGGCGGTTCAGAGGCAGCAGGAATTGCTGTGCCCGCGACGCCCCCGCTCCCAGAGCTCTGAATAATATTACTGCTGATATCTGGGATCTGGAAGTTGGGGATGTTGAAGCCGGCGGCTTCGGCTTCGTAGCGGGCTATTCTCGAACCGCGCTAACGTCTGGTCGATTCGTTCTCCCGCGTGGACACGGGAATCAATGAGAGCCGTGCCAGAGTTGGGTTGGCTTTCATCTTCTAGGATCTCGAATTTGGTACGTCAGAGGAACATAATGTAGGTGGTGCAGTCGGTGCGGCGACCACCTATATTGACATGTGATGTTCATTCCCCTTTGGCCTTTGTCCGGCAGGTGCCTCTTGCGCGACCTCAAGCGGCCCCGCAAACACACAAAAAAGCTCCCAAACGGCAGGAAAACGGCCGCCACACGGCCAAACAGGCCATTCGACCACCGCCCCATACAATTTATCTCTTCAGTTTTTGCGACGCGGATTTTCGTTGGTGGTCACGTTTCCAATTCTGTTTTTCCTATAATTTAAAAAATCATGCTCTTTTTTGTCAACGTAAAAACCAAAGGCTCATGTTCTCTAAAATACAAGACTCCCGCGTTCGTTCCGCGTACAATCAATGGTTTTGCGGGTGTGATTTCTGCATGTCAAGCAAAAAGATCGCTGCAATTGTGCGTTTCCTGTCGACCTGTAGCTGCAATATTCACTTCGAACACGACCTCTAGTATAAAAGAAATCGTCGAACACAATATATTACAAAGGTCTCCGCGCAGCATCTACTCGCCTTCGGCCCGTCCCGCCGCCGAGCCTGGGTTAGGGATGCTCGCTGGGATCCTTTGGGAATATTTGGGGGGTGGGGGGGGGAGGGGGGGGGGGGGTTCGCGGGCCCTGGGGCCTCTTTGGGGATTTCTTTGGATTCAAGAATGGTGAACCTCTATATCTTGCTGTTCTTCCTTGGGCACTCGCAGACGCCGCGACGCCTGGCATCGCCCCGGGGACTAGTCTCCAGGAGAGGAGGAAGGCGCTCTCTCTGCCGGCCGGCCAGCCGGCCAGAGGGGGAGGAGGGCGGAGGGATGGAGGGAGGGACCAGGAGTCCAGGAGTCAGGGGTCCAGGAGATCCAGGCGGGAGGACATGATATGGGCGATTTTCCCTAGCAGCGCATGCAATGATACCAAATTCGTAAATGCCTGCGCATCAGAGAGTCCAAGAAACCATCCATTTCCATCCTGTCCGTCTCCTCAGTTCCTCCTCTCAGAACATATATGATGGCCAGGGCGGGCGGGCGGCCAACGAGGCGCGCCGTTCCGGCGTAACAAACTTACGCTGCGGCTGTCCCCGGCCCGCCCCCTCGCCTGGAGCAGAGGCCACATGCCCGGGCATCGCAGAATCCAGAAACGTCATCCCTCCATGCCGTACCTGTCCTCTCTTCCTCCTCTCAAAACATCTGCGATGGCCAGGGCGGGCGGCAAGGCACGCCACTCCGGCGCCACTCCGGCGCGACAACCAGAGCAGAGGCCGAAGTCGGCGGCAGCGGCTACTACGACGGCAAGACATCCCCCTAGCGGGAACTGTCTTCCGGAGTGGCACGCGAGGAAGGGAAGGGCGGGCTGACCATTGTTCAGACGTCCATTCCCTGTGTTTGTTCTTGTTGATTTCGTGCGTGTTTTTTTTTTCGCCAATGCAATGATGCCAAATTCGTAAATGCCTGCGCATCAGAGAATCCAAGAAACCCAGAATTTCTAAGAAACCCCATCCATCCTGTCCGTCTCCTCAGTTCCTCCTCTCAGAACATATATGATGCTGATGGCCAGGGCGGACGGGCGCGGCTAGCTAGGCGCGCCACTCTAGCGCAACGAACTTACGCTGCGGCTGTCCCCTCGGCCGGAGCAGAGGCCAAATGCCAAATGTCAGGGCATCAAAGAATCCAGAAACGTCATCCCTCCAAACCTGTCCTCTTCCTACTCTCAAAACATCTATGATGGCCAGGGCGGGCGGCAAGGCGCGCCACTCCAGCGTGACGCCACTCCGGCGCGACAACCCGGCAGCGGCTAACGACGGCAAGACATTCCCCGAACTGTTTTCCGGAGTGGCACGCGAGGAAGGGGGGGGCCCTGGCCATCGTTCGGACGCCCATTCATACCCTGTGTTTTGTTTCGTTTCGATTTTTTTTTGTTCTTCAACCATCCTGTGGTGTTGGGTCCTCGTTTTGAAGAGACGGTGCCCCGCGTCTCCTTCCTCCTCCTCTCCTCCTCCGCCTCCTCTCCCCTCCTATCATCCTCATCGTCATCATCATCATCGTCATCATCATCATTATCATCATCATTATCATCATCATCGTCATCAGCATCAACATCATGGCCGCCATCATAACCATCATCGTCATCATCACCATCATCGTCGTCATCACCATCATCGTTGTCCTCGTCGCCATCATCGCACGTTTCGTGGCCCCATACGGAGCTCCACCGAAGGTCCCCCGCATGCGTCCCGCACGCCCATTTTGGCATACCCCTCACACGCTTCGTGGCCCCATAGGGAGCTCCATTTACGGTCCAAGTGGCGCAGCTCGCACGGCGCCACCGCTCCATTTTGGCACGCCCCTCACACGTTTCGTGGCCCCTCAGGGAGCTCCACCTGAGGTCCAAGTGGCGCAGCTCGCATGGCGCCACCGCCCCATTTTGGCACACCCCTCACGAATTTCGCGGCCCCTCAGGGAGCTCCTTTTGGCACACCCCCCACACGCTTCGTGGCCCCATAGGGAGCTCCACCTCAGGTCCACGTGGCGCAGCTCGCATGGCGCCACCGTCCCTTTTTGGCACGCCCCTCACACGTTTCGTGGCCCCATAGGGAGCTCCACCTGAGGTCCAAGTGGCGCAGCTCGCATGGCGCCACCGCCCCATTTTGGCACACCCCTCACAGATTTCGTGGCCCCTCAGGGAGCTCCACCTGAGGTCCAAGTGGCGCAGCTCGCATGGCGCCACCGCCCCATTTTGGCACACCCCTCACACGTTTCGTGGCCCCTCAGGGGGCTCCTTTTGGCACACCCCTCACACGTTTCGTGGCCCCATAGGGGGCTCCACCTAAGGTCCACGTGGCGCAGCACGCATGGCGCCACCGTCCCTTCTGGCACACCCCCCACACGTTTCGTGGCCCCCATAGGGAACTCCATTCACGGTCCAAGTGGCGCAGCTCGCATGGCGCCACCGCCCCATTTTGGCACACCCCTCACAGATTCCGTGGCCCCTCAGGGAGCTCCACCTGAGGTCCAAGTGGCGCAGCTCGCATGGCGCCACCGCCCCTTTTTGGCACACCCCTCACACGTTTCGTGGCCCCTCAGGGAGTTGCACCTAAGGTCCCAGTGGCGCAGTTCGCATGGCACCCCTTCACACGTTTCGTGGCCCCACAGGGAGCTCCATCTCAGGTCCAAGTGGCGCACCCCACATGGCGCCGCAGCCCCACTGCGCACTGCCCCCTCGGCCGAGTCGCCCAGGCGTGATCCTGGACTGCGGCCGCCACGAGGTCGGGAACGGCAAGAAGGAGGACGACGACTGGTGGCTGGAGCTCTATGCGCTGCTCTCGCGCGCCACGCGCCACGAGGACCTCCTGCTCATGCGGGCGCCGCGCATCGAGTTCTTCCTGGCAGGACCGCCGGAGGGCATGCGCAAGCAGCTGGGGCAGTTTGCAGCGCGCACGAAGCGGCGCAGGAGGGGGGCGACGGCCCTCGCCAGGGAGCTCGGCTTCACCGAGTTTATCCGCGAGGCCTGACCTGAGGAGCGCCCCCCCCGAGCCGCGCCTTCTCTCGACTGCCCGCATAATTGTTCGGCCTCGCGCCGCGGACGACCCGCGCGCGTCGCTGGGACCCTCTCGGGGCGACCAGCGCGCGTCGCGGGGATTCCGCGCGGCGCTCTGCTCAGCGCCTCGCTCGCCCGTCGTCGCTCTGCCCAGCGGCCGGAGCCTTGCCCGCAATCAGCCGGCCGGCTAGCTCTCTGTGCTCCGCGCAGCGGACGACCTGCGCGCGTCGCTGGGACCCCTCCGCGGCGACCTGCGCGCGTCGCGGGGGCCCCGCGCTGCTCTGCGCCCGCAGCTTTGGATTTTTGGAGCGCGCAGGCAAAGAGGGGGGAAAAGATGGGGCGGAAGCGGGTGCGATCCCCGTGAGGGGCGTGCCGACATGGGCGTCGCGGCGCGCGGGCGCTGCCGTCGGGGTTCCCGCGGAAGCTGCCTGCGGCGGCCACGCCCAGTGTCGCGAGTGTTCGGACAGGCATGCTCGAGCCATTCGCATTCATATACATTTACACTAGGCGTAGCCAAGATCGCACTCATGCAACTATACTCACTCCCACGCAGACCCATTCACACTCAGACTCTCTCGCGCTCTGGCTCACCCGCGTTCATTCTTTCGTAATTTGACCTATCGTATTCCTTTGCGTTGTGTACCCCGCCATATTTCGGCATACCCCTCATGGGTTCGTGGCCCCATAGGGAGCGCCACCGAAGAAGGTACTCACAATTGCGGCACCCACAACTGCATATGGTTGGGTCTTTCGCCAGGATAATTTGTTTTGCCAAATTTTTCCACGTGGTCTAGGATGATCCTCGATGGTCCTCGCCGAAAGATAAATGCGCACGTCCGAGCGATGCCAGGGGGCCAGCGCCAGCGGGTCACCTTGTCAAACGCTTCGCATTCGCCTTGCCCTTGGCCCTGGCGGTGGCTGGCGCCTTGGAATTGGACTTGGACGGATGCTCTCTTTTCTTGGTCTCGGCCGCCACAGCAGCTGCACAACCCGCCGGGAATCCATCCATCGTCTTGTCCTTAGAGCCCTTGCCACCGCCCTTGCTGCGCGACTTGGGCATCAGGGTCGCGTCCTCAAGACCATGGCAACTCCCGTTCAAGGGGGCTAGGTAGTGGATGGTCAATGATTGCTGAATCCATCATTCTGGACATGACTGGGCCAAGTCACTGACGTCGTTGAATTTCGAGAGCGGTGGCACAACGCCTCTGGGTGAAATGCTTATCTGAATGATCATCTTAGTTATCGACATATCGGGCGTATCCTTCCTCCCGCCCTGCTTGACCATCCACGCGGCGACAGGGGCTTCGACGGCCACTGCATTGTGCCCCGACCCCGAGACCCAGAAGTCCACGCTTAAGAAGGCACCTATGAGCAAGCTGTTGGCGCCCTTCGTGGTCGACATGGGGCCTACAAGCGGGAGCTCGAAGTCTTTCTGCATCAAGGGGCACACGGGAATTGTCTTTGCCTTGTCGACGATGTTGAGGCGGACCTGAGTCGCCGACGTAAGTGCGTTAGTCCTTCCAGAATAAAAAAACCAACAAGAGCGCCTCCAAACATTTCTCCATGGCTTTGAAAAAACACGATGTCGAAGTCCGAAGCTTTCGTCTTGCGGAGCTTCTGAGCGTCTTCATGCTTCTCAAACGCCTCCTTGGGAAAAAAATGCGGCTGGGTCTCTGAGCGCATACAACTCCGATAGTGGTGCGTCGTCCTTCGGACCGGTAGTGGTATCCACGGCGAGGTCCTGCTGCTCGACGAGTGCGAGCTCCTCCTTTACCATGGCCTTGTCCAAGTCAAACCCCTCGGCGCTCGCGAGAGAGCACAGGAAGTGACCGCCGCTCCAGTTATTCGTGGCATCGTTGGCGTCGGCATGCCTGCGTCTCGACAAAATTATCCAGAATTCAAACCGCTGGGTGTCACCGTGACAATGGCAATAACACGCACAAATTCCCGCAACAACATCAGCGGATGCCGACTTCCACAGGGTGAGAAAGACATCAGGCCAACCAGTGCACTTCACGGTGCTCAGGCCGAGGAGCGTGTTTGCGCGTTCCAAGAGGCGCACGACGTACTTCGGACGTAGAGAGAGGCACTGCTCAAGCATCGTGCGGTCTCTGAACACATTCTTGGACTCCGATGGCGTTTCGAAGCCGAGGCGGACGCAGTCCACGAGGGTAGACATGGCTGACCACCATCCGAGCTTGAGGATCGAGAAGAGCGACACCTGAATAGCCTTAAGAAGGTTGGTACTGCACTTGCCGGTGTTGGGTAACTGGTCGATGTCGTTGTAGACCAAGTCCGCCAACTCCTTCATCGCAGGTTGATATTGAATGTCGTTGGGCAAAGTGGTATCGACGAAGGCCTTAAACTTGGAAACCATCTCCTTGTCTGCGAACGTATCTGCGGCGCGTTTGACCGTTCCTCTTCTGACATTTTGTGTTCTGGCGTGCCAATCGTAGCAAAGGCCCCGTTGAGTTTGTCAGAGAGTGCACCAAGGGCCATGGACTTCCCTTGCACGTTTACCTGGGAGTGGGCAGCCTCAATGAACCTCTGGAGCTCCTGGCGCAACGTCGACCGTGCAGTGTGCAGCATATTGCAGAAGATAACCTTTCCGGCGAATGCAAACTCCAAAGCGACGCTGACCATCGCTAACAACGTCACCAAAATCGCTGGCTCGTCGACGTGGTACCCGTGAAGGTTGGCCTCGGCCATCACCTGACTAAAGACAGCATGGGGAGCATACGCCATGTCCTCGATCCATGTGACGCTGCGGTCGTCTCCATCCTCAGTTTGCACAGTGGTCTTGACCAGAGCAGCTGCCATGCGATCGTTATCGCTGCGACCTTTCGGCGTTCCTCCTCCTCTCCCCCTGCCTCTGCCTTGGCCGCCTCTGCTCTTGCCTTTCTTGCCATCGCCCTTGCCGTCTCTTTCGCCGTTGCCTCCTTCCTCCAGCCGGCCCGCTTTACTCGCGTTCTCGGAGGAACCCTCCAACGCCGGCCTCTTGCGAACACCCTCCTCCTGATCCTTCTTCGCCTTCGCCTCCTTCTCAGCCTCCTGCTCATTTCTCCTTCTCCTCCTTCTCCTTTGCTGCCTTAATGGCTGCTCTCTCCCGGGCCTTAATGGCATCCTTCGCCATCATATATTGTAAGAGACTTTGAATCTTGTCGGTCACGTCCTTGCTGTTCTCTTTGAAAAGGCATGGCAACTCCCGCTGGGCCCCCTCGCAGGCATTCACTGGAAAAGCAAACTTGAGGGTCTCGAAAGCGACTGCGTACTTGAACTTTGAGATGTACTTCGATTCCACGTTTTCGAACTTCAGTCCCTTAACCACATCTCTGATCGCGTTGGACACCTGGTGCGCTATACTAATTGCGTTGAAGAGCCAAACCAGGGTGTAGTAAGTCGACGTGCTGAAAGAACCAGTTCTCGAGATCATTGAACATGTTGTTCTCGTTCTCCTTGGATTCCTTGTCCTTGTTCCTTGTCTTTCCGGTGAGAACAGATTGAATGCCTTGGAGACCGTGACAAAAGCTTTTGGTTGTGACCCAGATCTTCAAATAATCTATGACCTGTGCTCCAGGGCCACCACTGCCGATGCTCTTCCACTTCGTTTCGACAAATTCCAAATAGTGCGCCTCGTACTTAGGATTCTTGGTATTGACACCCGTGCTGTCGGCCTCAGCCTGGACGGAAGCGCGAGACACGAAAAAAAAAAGAGAAGGGGGAATACGGGGAAGGCGGAGCAGGAGTGGAGAGAGGAGGACGAGGGAAGAAGGAAGGGAGGGAGGACGAGGAGGAGAGTGAGGATTGCGATTGATACGTCGGTGGCCTGCCACTCCGCCTCCAACTGCAAGACCTCCCGCAGAATCTCGAACAGTGAAGCAGGAGAACCTTGGTGGAACCGGTTGTGATATTTCATCAACCATATGACACATTGCAACGGCGTGGTTGCTATCAGCACGCGAGCCCTCATCCCAAGTCTCTCTGTGTGTAGGACGCAGGGGTTCTCGGGATCACGTTTTTTGGCACGGTAGAAAGCTTCTGAGACGTGGTTGCAGGTAAAGGCGAGAGCGGGGAAGCCCCGCTGAACCTCGGACGTGTCCTCCCCCGAATGGCCCCAGATGAGCCATGCCTCACCTCGAACTCCAAGCGAGAGGCCATCTGCCATAATCCGCCTGACATACCTTTCGCAGGTGGCTTCGGACAGCGGCCTGTTGTGAAGATGCTTGATTACGGCACGCTCTCCAGATGGAGTGAACCAGGCGAAATTCACGGCGTGCTTACGGTCCCCAAACTTCTCGAAGATGGCGGACTCCATGAGCGCGCCCTGGCAGGTTACCGAATATTTTCCCCACTGGAGTTTGGTCGGTGATCTGCCCCGTCGGCATCGACAGTTGAACGCCCCCGGACGGCCCAGCGGGCCCAGTCCAGGACCGACTGGTAGGGCCCCTGTATCTTCGCCGTCGCCTCCGCCTCCGCCGCCGGCGCCGCCGGTCGCCACCATGGCCATGGCTTCTCACGAACAGGACGAACCCAGGACGAATTCCAAATGGGTTGGTTGCGCATGCGAGCGCGACACCTTGCCGAACTGCAAACAGCTTTCGCTAAATATACAAACTGCAATCGCACGCTGACACCAAACTCATGCCTTATTCTTTTGACTTGGCAGAGTCGACCTACGGGTGGGCATGTGTGACCATGCGACACCTTGTCGAATTGCAAACAACTGTTGCTAAATCTTACAGCCCGAGAGAGAACGCAAGACTCCTTGGCAGGAAGGCTAAGCAACTTGGAAATCATGACCTCACGACCGCTGATGTCACGTATAATGAATGATATAATGATGATAATGAAACTTACTTTGGATAAGGGATTCGGAATCCAGGGCCCCGCGACCAAACCCCCTTCGCCTCGAAGAAAGAAGGAATGCGCCAGGGTCGAGCCCCTGACATTCCTACCCCCCCACATCTGCCCCATATCATTCTGATTACGTTTGATTTCCGCGCTGCACGCAGCAGCCCGTTTCCCAACCCTCACAGTCACTCGGAAGCTTGACCCACGCGTACACAAAGAGTGGATCGATCAAAAAACGGGGGCTGGTGCTGGCATTAATTAGAGGCGGAAAGACCTCGGAAAGAGCGAAACACCGAGCGAACTTCTTCAGCGGCGTTGGGCCGCCCCTCCTGCCTTTCATCGTTTCAGTCTCTCCACATCCTCCCTCCATCCCCTCGCTGGACCCCCCTAGATAGCCCTCCGGCGCTTCTTCTCGCCCTGAGAAACTGGCGTGGATTCGGCAATTGACTGCTTGTGCTGCCTCTGACTCATCATCCCAAGCATGCTGAGCATGGGATTGTGTTCCGCTCGGGATATGTAATTCTCGTAAGAATGCCACAACACTAAACCAACAACCTCAACGTTCATGGCGTTTCCAGACATCCCATTCACTCTGCGTGGATTACGAGTGATACCATATGTATTCAAACTCGTATAAGTTCTTTCGCCCAAGGGTGGCCCAGGAAAAGACGGATGAACTGGGGGGCCTTGCAGTAGTAGCGCCTCGCTGCCACCGAGCCAACGAGGACAACAATCCGGAATGGTGTCGCAGAAGATGAGGTGCATGTTTTTGATGAGAGTGTGCATGAAACCCCCTTGGGACTTCTCTGGGCGTGCAAAAGGGTCCTGGTTGAGTTGCCATGCTCTGCCTGGGTATTGAATGCTGTAGGTGTCCAAAAACTAGCGCTCGCATGCTGTGAGGCACTCAAAGAAAGGATTCGGGTCACTTATCTTGGGGGTGACCTCCAATGATTGAGCGAAGCTTTTTGGTCGCGCCATGGCCCATTGCAACTCTTGCTCCAGTTCATCACGGCCATGATGGAGCGGATTGGGGATATCTGGGCTGAGGTCGGCTCATTTGTGGAGGGAGTAGGCGTCTTTGAAGGCAATGCAGCATTCACGGTGAAACTTGCGGCAGAAATCGCCCAGCGGGCAAAGTTGGTTCAGCGCTGCAGCTTTGCGACCAAAGATGGTGTATTTTCTTGATCGTGCGTTCGGCCAACAATAGTCCATTGAGTCCATCTCGAAGGTGTCGATATGATAGCGCTGGCCAGGCCAAAAGAGAAAATATAGAATCGTCTAGCAATATGAGGCCCACGCCCTGCTTCGACCATGGTTGGCACGTGGTGCCGGCGACGTGTCGCTTGGCCTTTCGCAATTGGCACATCTCGCCGTGAACCGAACATTTGGCCCATGGTTGGGTGGCTTTCCCAGAACTAACAACATTACGCAGCGCATCAACTGCCATGTGCACTCTGCCTTCCGCTTTGAGAATTGAAATGGCGCCGTTGACCTCTGAACGAAAAAAATTGCAGATGACGCCAAACAGGCAGCCGCCGCTCTTGCCGAGGAAATTCTTCAGCTCTGTCTGACAGGCACTATCGTTCTCAATCGCGTGCGACAGATTGTCCTTAGGTGTCCAACGAACGCCTTGGTGGGCCAGGGCATCTGAAAGCGAGTCCGCCAGCATGCCGAGGGAAACCTCTGGCGCGTCGATACCAGAAAAGGCAGTGCTGACCTCGTTGCTTTCAAAATATATTGCAATATCCTTTAAAGAATTACCACGTGGGCCGACCTCATCGACAACGCGGAAATGCCAATTGAACGCCTCGCAAAAATTGGTGACCTTATAACGACCAGGACGCGGCTGGCGCCTGCGGCGACGCGTTGCCCCTGCCAAGTTGATTGACACAATATCCAAATCCGAGTCCACCGAAGCGGCCGCTGGCTCACCAGATGGTTCTGGCCGAGGTTGCGAGGCTGCTGCAGGGCGTCTTCGTGGAACCAGCGGAGCGTCAGAGTCCGAGGAGGTCTTCGTCTTGATCTCCACGGCTCCGTCTGGCTCCTTCACCTCCTTCGGGTCCTTCAGCGGAGCGTCAGAGTCCGAAGATGTCCTCGTCTCAATATCCGCGGCTCCGTCTGGCTCCGTCACCTCCTTCGAGTCCCTCGGCTCCGTCGCCTCGATCTCGGGTCCTTTTGCTCCGTCACCGTCTTCTGGGTCTCCTGGCTGAGTCGATGGCGTTCGTTCTTGTCCGCCAGCTCCTTCACCATCAAGTCCATCAGGTGCTGCAGCCTGATGAACTTGATCCATCGCTGGTACTCCTGATGCTGGTACTAAAGATGAAGATGGTTGCGCCAGCGAGTCGGCGCGGCCGGGCTCGGGGATGGCGCTTTTCTTTCTCGCTGCTGCCCGCAACAAGATTTTTTGAGCAAGGAAAGTGAAACTACCTCTTTCGACAATCTCAACAATATAGCCTGAGCGTGGACTACTGGTTCCTGTGTAGGGTACCGTGCGCGGCCAATGATTGGGCCCACGATGTGTTTCCGGTGCTGAACTGCCGCTGGCTTCGGTTGGTTCATCGGGCTTGTCGGCTGAAGCTGCAGCTGCAGTAACTGATGTGGGCTTCTTCATCACACCCAGCATGCTTACCACTGGCGGTGCTGGTTGGACTCCATCTCTCAAAGCGAAGTTGATAAGTGTGCAATTGTGTGTTTGCATAGCACGCTTGCGTTCGATGTAGATGGGCTCTGGCAAACGCTCCGCATCCTTGACAATAATCCCAGCTTGCGGATCAAACTTCACCGATGCCCCACCACCCCATCTGGCCCGCATGAGTTCGATAATAGCACCGTCGTTCACCTCGTGCCTCCAAATATCTCGAATGAAATCAGTCATGGTTGAATATGAAATGACGTCCTCGAAAATGGCAGAGCCCCAGACTGTGATGACGTGGTGGCACCCGCGACTCCTACAGCCAGTGCCGTTTTCGATGAGACAAATTTTCCGTCCAGAAACCAAATTGTCAATAGGCTTGCCCCGGACTATGACTGTTGCTCGATCACCAGGATTGTCGGTGAAGAAACGACCGATGCTTTCAGAATCAACCAATATACCTTTCATATTCGACATCGATCCTTGCATGTCGTTCGTGAATTGGGAATGCAATGCGCCGTCTGACAAACTGGAAACGCATTTGACCATGAGGAGGCTGTCATATGAACGCCATTCCTCCCAACGGTAACCCTGTGCAGAAACCTACGACATTGCCAAAAACGCCCCGGTGATATGTGGGCGGACTCGTTGGAAGCCCAAGAGGATGGAGGGGGGGGGGGGGGGGGGGGGGGTGGGGGGAGGGGGGGGGGGGGGGAGGAGGGGGAGGGAGAAGAGATGAGGAAGGAAAAAATAAGGAGGAGGGAGGGGGGAGGGAGGAGGGGAGGGGGGGGATACAGCGCCCTGGATTCCTGCGAACCCTTGGGAACCACGTGAACCCATTGGGCCATGTGAGGCCCTGCGCCCATGTGGAACCTTTGAGAGCCCCTTGAACCTGAACCCCTTGGGCCCTGAGAGGCCCTGGACCCCTGGAGATCCTTTGGGGGGCCTTTTGAACCTCGTGGCCCCCTGGGCCTAGTCAGGCCCTGGACCCCCGTGGAACCTTTGGGGGCCCCTTGAACCCCTTGGGCCCTGAGAGGCCCTGGACCCCTGAAGAATGTGCGGGGGCCCCTTGAACCCTTCGGGCCATGTGGGGCCCTGGGCCCTTGTGGAACATCTGGGAGAGACCCCTCAGATAATTCACACAGGCCACATGTGGCAGAGCAGACCGCCAGGGCAGTCTGCAGACGACCCCGCGCGAGCAAACAACGCACTAAGCAGTTGGCACGCAGGCCGCGCTGACAAGCGTTCGTGCCACAAGCCCAGGCTGCAAACCATCCCAGCACGTGGATCCAAGATTTTATTGCCACCACATCTCGGCTGCATGCTGCTCGCACATGTCTCGTGTCGACACCAAACATGTCAACCCGACGCGCCAAATGCGTGCCGCGGTTGCGTGTGTCCGAAGCTGTTCGCGTGAGCCCATTGAACCCCCATTGGGCCCGTTGGGCCCTGAGATGCCCTGGGCCACTGGGGAACCCAGCGCTCGTGACACAAGCCCAGGCTACAACGAATATCAGCACGTGGGGTCAGGATGTTGTTGCCACCGCATCTCGGCCGCATGCTGCTCGGCTCGCACATGTATCGTGTCGACGCCGCGCGTGTCGACCCGACGCGCCAAATGCGCGCCGCTGCTGCGTGTCCGAAGATGTTTGGGAGCACAGTGAACCCCATTGGGCCCTGAGAGGCCATGGACCACTGGGTGGCCCTGCGGAGGTGCACGCCAGCGCAATATCACTGCATGTGCATCTGGAACACGACGAGACCATCCCCCAGGGTCGTCGTCGGGAGGCGGCCCCCGACGAGGCCCCCCCCCCCCCAGTGTAGGCGTCGGGGGGTGGCTCCGACGAAGCTCTCCCCAAGGATCGCCGTTGGGAGGCGGCCCCAGACGAAGCCCCCTCGAAGCGTCGCCGTCGGGGGGCGGCCCCCGGCGCGGTCACCCCCGCGGGTCGCCGTCGGGAGGCGGCCCCCGACGAGGTCATGCCAAAGGGTCGTCGTCGGAAGTCGGCCCCCGACGAGGTCATCCCCAAGGACGTCGTCGGGAGGCGGCTCCGACGGGGTCGCGTCAAGGGTCGTCGTCGGGAGGCGGCTCCCGACGAGGTCATCCCCAAGGGTCGTCGTCGGGGGGCGGCTCCCGACGAGGTCACCCCCGCGGGTCGTCGCCGGGAGGCGGCTCCCGACGAGGCCCGTTCCAGGGGTCGTCGTCGGGAGGCGGCCCCCGACGAGGCCATCTCAGGGGTCGTCGCCGGGGAGCGGCCCCCGACGAGGTCATCCCCAGGGGTCGTCGTCGGGAGGCGGCCCCCGACGAGGTCATCCCCAGGGGTCGTCGTCGGGAGGCGGCCCCCGACGATGTCTTCTCAAAGATATGTCGTCGGGAGGCGGCCCCCGACGACGCCCTCTCACAGGGTCGGCGTCGGGAGGCGGCCCCCGACGAGGTGATATCACAGGATCGTCGTCGGGGGGTGGCTCCAGACGAGGTCATCCCAAATGGTCGTCGTCGAGGGGCGGCCCCCGACGAGTCCTTCCCAAAGGGTCGTCGTCGGGGGGCGGCCCCCGACGACGACGCCCCCGCGGGTCGTCGTCGGGGGGCGGCTCCCGAAGATGCCCGTTCCAGGGGTCGTCGTCGGGGGGCGGCTCTCGACGAGGTCATCCCCAGGGGTCGTCGTCGGGGGGCGGCTCCCGACGAAGGCGCTCCCAAGGGTCGGCGTCGGGAGGCGGCCCCCGACGGCACCCCTTCAAGGGCCAGCGTCGGGAAGCGGCCCCCGACGACGCCATCTCACGGATCGTCGTCGGGGGGGCGCCCCCGACGAGGTCCCCCCCTGGGGTCGTCGTGGGGTGGCGGCCCCCGACGAGGTCACCCCCACGGTTCGTCGTCGGGAGGCGGCTCCCGATGAGATTCGCCCCGAGGGTCGCAGTCACGAGGCGGCCCCCGACGAGGCCCTTCCCAAAGGTCGTCGTCGGGAAGCGGCTCCCGACGAGGCGTGTCCAAGGGTCGTCGTCGGGAGGTGGCTCCCGACGAGGCCACCCCCAAGGGTCGTCGTCGGGGGACGGCCCCCGACGACGTCATCCCCCGGGTCGTCGTCGGGAGGCGGCCCCCGACGAGGCCCGTTCCAGGGGTCGTCGTCGGGAAGCGGCCCCCGACGAGCCCCCCCCGGAGGGTCGCCGTCGGGAGGCAGCTCCCGACGACGCCCTCCCCGAGGGTCGCCGTCGGGAGGCGGCTCCCGACGAGGTCATCTCCAGGGGTCGCCGTCGGGGGGTGGCTTCCGACGACGTCATCCCCAGGGGTCGTCGTCGGGAGGCGGCCCCCGACGAGGTCATCCCAAAGGGTCGTCGTCGGGAGTCGGCCCCCGACGAGGTCATCCCAAATGGTCGTCGTCGGGGGGCGGCCCCCGACGAGGCCTTCCCAAAGGTCTTTGTCGGGGGGCGGCCCCCGACGAGATCATCCCAAGGGTCGTCGTCGGGATGCGACTCCCGACGAGCCCATTCCCTAGGGTCGTCGAGAGGAGGCGGCTCCTGACGATATCATCCCCAAGGGTAGTCGTCTGGAGGCGGTTCGCGACGATGTTATTCCCAGGCTTCGTCGTCCGAAGCCGTTGGGGAGCACGTTGAACCCCTTGGGCCCCGGGAGGTCCTGGACCACTGGGGAACCCTGCGGAGGTCACACAAGCCCAGGTCGTAACGAATATCGGCACGTGGAACCAGGATGTTGTTACCACCGCATATCGGCTGCATGCTGCTCGCACATGCATCGTGTCGACACCAAACGTGTCGACCGGACGCGCCAAATGCGTGCCGCGGCTGCGTGTGTCCGAAGCTGTTTGGGGGCAGATTGAACCCCTTGGGCCCTAAGAAACCCTGGACCACTGGGGAACCCTGCGGAGGTAACACACGCCCAGGCTGCAACGAATATCAACACGTGGATCCAAGATTTTGTTGCCACCACATCTCGGCTGCATGCTGATCGCACGTGTCTCGTGTCGACACCAAACGTGTCGACCCGACGCGCCAAATGCGTACCGCGGCTGCGCGCGCCCAAAGCTGTCCGGGAACCCATTGAACCCCTTGGGCCCTGAGAGGCCCTGGGCCACTGGGGAACCCATTACGAGCCCAGTACTCGCGACACAGAGCCAGGCTGCAACGAATATCAGCGCGTGTTGCCACGATTCAGTTGCCACCGCATCTCGGATGCATGCTGATCGCAGAAAGTCTCGTGTCGACACCAAACGTGTCAACCCGACGCGCCAAATGCGTGCCGCAGCTGCGTGTGTCCGAAGCTGTTTGGGAGCCCATTGAACCCCTTGGGCCCTGAGAGGCCCTGGACCACTGGGGAACCATGCGGAGATGACACAAGCCCAGGTCGCAACGAATATCAGCACGTGGATCCAGGACTTTGTTGCCACCGCACCTCGGCTGCATGCTGCTCGCACGTGTCTCGTGTCGACGCCAAACGTGTCAAACCGACGCGCCAAATGCGCGCCGCGGCTGCGTGTGTCCGAAGCTGTTTGGGAGCCCATTGAACCCCTTGGGCCCTGAGAGGCCCTGGACCACTGGGGAACCCTGCGGAGGTAACAGAAGCCCAGGTCGTAACGAATATCAGCACGTGGATCCAGGATTTTGTTGCCACCGCATCTCGGATGCATGCTGCTCGCACATGTCTCGTGTCGACGCCAGACGTGTCAACCCGACGCGCCAAATGCGCGCCGCGGCTGCGTGTGTCCGAAGCTCTTTGGGAGCCCATTGAACCCCTTGGGCCCTGAGAGGTCCTGGACCACTGGGGAACCCTGCGGAGGTCACACAAGCCCAGGTCGTAACGAATATCAGCACGTGGACCCAAGATTTTCTCGCCACCGCATCTCGGAGGCATGCTGCTCGCACATGTCTCGTGTCGACACCGAACGTGTCAGCCCGACGCGCCAAATGCGTGCCGCGGCTGCGTGTGTCCAAATCTGTTTGGGAGCCCATTGAACCCCTTGGGCCCAAAGAGACCCTGGACCACTGGGGAACAGTCCGGAGATAACACAAGCCCAGACTGCAACGAATATCAGCACGTGGAACCAAGATTTTGTCGCCACCGCATCTCGGCTGCATGCTGCTCGCACATGTCTCGTGTCGACACCAAACGTGTCGACCCGACGCGCCAAATGCGCGCCGCGGCTGCGTGTGCCCGAAGCTGTTTGGGAGCCCATCGGACACCTTGGGCCCTGAGAGGCCCTGGACCATTGGGGAACCATGCGGAGATGACGCGAGCCCAGACTGCAACGAATCTCAGCACGTGGAACCAAAATTTTGTCGCCACCGCATCTCGGCTGCATGCTGCTCGCACGTGTCTCGTGTCGACACCGAACGTGTCGACCCGACACGCCAAATGCGCGCCGCGGCTGCGGGTGTCCGAAGCTGTTTGGGAGCCCATTGAACCCCTTGGGCCCTGAGAGGCCCTGGGCCATTGGGGAACCCTGCGGAGATAACAGAAGCCCAGGCTGCAACGAATATCAGCACGTGGATCCAGGATTTGTTGCCACCGCATCTCGGCTGCATGCTGCTCGCACATGTCTCGTGTCGACACCAAACGTGTCGACCGGACGCGCCAAATGCGTGCCGCGGCTGCGTGTGTCCGAAGCTGTTCGGGAGCCCATTGAACCCCTGGGCCCTGAGAGGCCCTGGACCACTGGGGAACCCTGCGGAGGTATACGCCAGCGCCACATCACGGCACACGCCTCACGCGGATCGTGGGGGCTGGCGCAAGGGCCGACAGCTTTGCCGATCACATGGCAAGGCAAGGTTTCTTATGAGAGTTCAAAGGTTTCCAAGCTTAGGGGGGCCATGCGATCAGCATCAATAGGACGGATGTTTGAACGCACGCGAATCAAAGTGCATCTCCGCGCCCGCGCCTGACCTCCTCCCACGAGCTGGCCCCCTCGGGCAGCAGCGTGGCGCGTCGCGCCCAGTGGCGGGCGATCGGCGCGCATAGACATCCGCGAAACATAGCTTGCTTGTGGGGGGAGAGACGAAGAGGAGAGAGAGGACCACTCGCGGAAGGAGGGGGGGGGCAGTATGACAAAGGACGCGAGGTGAGACAGAGGATGAGAAGCGAGCAGGAAGGAAAAACCAATCCCCCCTCGCACGTCGGCAGACGGCAGACGGTCTCCCCTCGCACATCGCGCGCTGCTTCCTGTTGATCAGCGCCCCCTAGCGAATTGGGCCAGATACGCTGCCCCGAAGCTCCCCGATGCTTGCGCGCGAGGCAGGCCCGACCAGCAAAGTCACTCGTTAATTCCGCCGACTTCCGGAACCGCAGCACCGGCGCAAATTCCTGAGTATCTGATGAAACCTCGACGCAGATCGCAGCACGTTTTCCCGGGTGAGTTTTCACCCATCATATACTTGATTCGGGGGCCCCTTCCTTCGCCTCCTCCTCCTCTTTCTTTTCCTCCTTCCTCCACGCGAGCCTCCTCCTCCTCCTCGTCATCCTCCTAGCCTTTCGCCCGCGTGATCCTGTAGTTAAGCCGATCTGGAACGCAGACGCAGTTCTTCCAATCGTTCATGCTGCTGAACTGCGCGGTGACCTCGTCGGTGATGTTGCATAATTTCAACGATGTCTTGCAAGATTCGTGCCAAGAGCCGAGGCATAACGAACGTTGCATAACGCGTTCGTTCCTCGCCCTCTTGGCTGGCGGCAACCGCTCACACAATACGCATGTCCCTATTGAAGTCCCCGCTGATTTGGCGCCCACGTCCGTCTCCTATGAATCAATATCAGCAGGGCTGAGCTGGGAGAGAGAGAGCTTTCCCAGCAATCAATGAAGCGTAACACTCATCGATGCACCTCAGGTCGGTCTTCTCCGCGTCTGTCCTTTCTCCTGTGCGCGTGCGTGTCGATGGCTGGGTGGATGATCTCAGAACCCCGCAGGTCTCGGATTTTGAATTCGCCTCGACCTGGATGAGTACTCACCAAGCGGTTCTCTGAGTAATACCGGCATTACCACCCACGCATCTCGCTTACATTTGCCCATGAAACAATCTTTATCATCGGGCCGCCTTCGTGGTTCACCTCGACAAAGGAAAGAATTCCACCGTAACCCACTGGGATATTCCCTTCACCAGGTTCTGCGGCCACCTTCCTTCTTCTGAGGGCGTCGAGGGTCATGACCACCGGATCTCTCCACGTCGGTGCGAGGTCCTCCACGGCCGCCTTCAAATAATCATCTCTAAGATCAACGTGGGCACACGGACCATCTGTATGTGGATGACCGTGTTGTTCCTGCTGAATGCCAGTGTTGTCGCCGCCGTTTGCGTCGTCGTTGTCATCGTTGTCGTCATTGGTGCCCATGACTTCTTTCATGTTGAGCGTGGCCTCAATCATGATATCTCCAGGGTGGTGAATACTTCTGACTTCATTCTCGTCGTCGGCGATCCATTCATCAGCTTTCGCCTGAGCGCGATCGGGCTTGAGAAGCCCAGAACCAACAGCCTGCTGCAAGCGCTTCTTCTCAAGTGAGGCCAGTGGCCCTTCCCCAGATACCTTGGAGAAGATGTCACTGGTATCATCATAATCCTCGTCCTCGTCGTCCTCGGCCATCGCTCTCCTCGCTTCCTCGATTGCTTCGTCCGATTCAAGTGCTGATTCGTCAAGCCCGCCCATCCTTTCGGCAGCATCCATTGCCTTGGTGAGCTCTTCCTCTAAACAATCGCAGCGGCTAGCTTGATCCTCCTTGGCGCCCTCTCCCAGCAGCACTGGCGAAGTAACTGGAGAGGCCGCAGCGCTGCCGTTGCCCTTGCTGAGAGGGCGCTGCAAAACCGCTACGGCCGGCGGGTTCTCCTTCGGGATGGCGACAATACCGCAGATAAACAAGTTGCCTGAAGTCCCAAGTGCATCGGGCATTCCATCCCAAGAGACTTTGAACTATCGAAGGCACGTTTGTTCACCACCCTCGACGCACCGAGAATAGTAGCACCCAATCAACCGCTTAGTAGAAATGAAATTCAACGGGGTCACGATACGGAGTTTACCATTCATGCTCAAACTTGCTTCAACACGCCTCCATCGAGTACAATATTTTTCTGTGCCAAGCCATACTGCGTGCTCCGTGTGCACTGTGCTCGTGGTTATTGAACCGAAATACCAAGCCACGTCAAGAGGGCAATTGATTCCCTTCATGACAGCATTGAACAAAGAACTGCACTTGCAAGCCCATGCAGTTGACTTGTCGGGCGTCAGCTGCGGTATAAGATGCACGATTTGTTTATCCATCGACTTCTTGTCAGGCAGCGCCAAAAGAGCCAGAGGCGATATCCAACGCGTACTCGTGGAAAGCACGCGACTGACCGGCAGCCCTGGCATTCTTTCCATGGCGAGGTGCTGGGTCGAGTGCTCGGCCAAGGTAGTGCTCGAGCTGGAGCCGCGATGAGACCAGCTCGAGCGTGGAATTAGGGGCCCGGTCACACACGATGCCGATCTGCTTGTTGAGGCGCTCATTCTCGCGCACGTGGGCTTGCCACGCCCTCCCCAAAGTCTCAAGCGCGCGATGCACTCTCGAAGGGCACTTGCCTGTATCCTCTGCGCACTGAACAGACTCTCTGTATAGATTCAGAAATTTCTTGGTGGATACATCCAAGACGCCGCGATCGTGAGCGCCGAGCAGGTCAGACGCAGTTCGGCGTCGACAGAAGCAGTCTGCATGCGACGGGTTGCGCGCCAGCTGGAGCAGCTTGAAAGGGAACTCCTGTAAAGGAAGAACCACTCTGCGGTAGATGCCTGCAGCGCTGCTCAAGAGTATGCGAAATGCGCATTTACAAAAGAATACAGCGTCACGGTGGTCCTCCAACATCAACGATGTCACCCTGGCTCGCCATTGGTCTCCTTGGGCTGCCGCCTCGAACTCCAACGCAAGGAGTTTCGCTTTCCCGTTCGCGAGCTGCTGCAATTGATTGCCGTGAGTCGCAATGGTTGGCTCGTCGACGGGCTTCTTCAAGATAAATGACAAGTGGAGCAACGGTTCTCGTAACGCATACAACATCTCCATCATGCTCCGAAACGAACTCTTTTTTGTTACATGTAAAACATCGCGGTGCCACCTGCCCATCGTCCTCCGATATGCCGCTTGTTGTTCTAAAGCCTGAATGTCAATATGACAAACCGCGCCGTCGATCTCTTCATCCCCCAGCTTGTGCAGGCGGTGCGTCAACACCAAATTCAGAAACTTGTGAATATTATCGCCTCCGGCCTCCATCATGCGGAACTCAACTTCATGAACAGATCCCCAACGGCCAGAGCAGCACTTAGGGAACATTCGCATTTGTTTTTTTTTCGCTTTGACCTTGTCCGTGAAAATGCCAGACCACACCTTGCAGAAGTCCTGGGCCCTCTCCCTCAGCACATTTGTAGTCTTGGCAACAGACGAATCGTACCCACATGACTTAAGCATCGCGTCGAGGATCTCCAGCCCGCTCAACAAGATGAGATGCACCTGGTGCTCGAAACAATCGCATTGGAGCATGATCACCCTCGGGCACTGTTCAGTGAGCGACGACATTAGCTTGAATCGGTAAACCTGGTCTGGGCCGTTGTCAGATGCAACTGAATACCAATGCTCACCACGAACGCCGTCGGGATGACGCCTGGAGTGCGAAAATCAACGCCTGCAAGACCACCCCAAGACGATGGTGGGCAGAAGCCTAAGGAATCATGTTCCTGTAAAGCTGTCTGGGAAATACGATTTACCGATGTCTCTTGGGGGCCCGTAGGGGGCTTTCCTGGGGGGGCCCTTCGGGGGCCCATTGGCCCAATGGCCTATTGGGGCTTCCGGGAGGCCTCTTGGGAGCCTCGCGGAGCTTCTTTTGATGGCCTCCGGAGGCGTCCTAGGAACCTCTCAGGCTGGAGATATTGAAATGTCTTGCTCTTCGGGCCCTCCTGGGTTGCTCTTGGGGCTCTCTTGGGGCGCTCTCGAGGCCCTCTTGAATTATCTGGGGGGCCTCCTTGGCTTGGGGCTGTCTTGGCAATCTCTAGGGCCCTCGCGTGTTACGGCAGTTTTGCCCAAGGCCAAGGCGCCTCCACTCATCAGCAATACTCTTGAAAGTTGGACAGCCAATGCTTTCCGATTGCTTCGATGTCAGTCCCAAACAGCCCGCGCCAGTTCTGTCATCGACTGGGAGGACGTCTCCAATGCGTTCGAGGTAAGAGATCACTGGCACCGACTCACGAGGTCCTGGCGGGCCGCCCAAGTCCTGGAGCACGTCGGGGGGTTGGTCCTCCGCCAGGATGATTGCCGAGTGCAACTCAAGAGCGGAGAAAGCTCTTCCTCTGCCAGATGCTGCTGTTGGTCGCATTGGACTTGAAGTTGTGAATGCAAATGATGTCGAAAGAATCGTGATCGCCATCGGCCCCGCAGAACACAACGTCCTTCACGCGGTCGAAAAACATCCGGGCCGACCCTGCCAAGCAAGCACCAACTTTGAATTCAGCGCGACGCACCGTGTACCGGCTGATATCTTCCAAACTTATCTTCCCCAGATCTTCAGTAGAAACATTACTCATGTTCCGGCGGATCGCAATCGAGATGGCAATCGCAGGAATAAGCCAGCCCCGTGTCCTGCCAGTCCGGGGCAAAGCGAAGGCATCGTTGGGATCGCCTTGACCTGCAAGGGCTAGCTGCAGCTGCGACATCCGCGAGTCTGATGATGTGTGAGAGCCGCTCTCGGATGTTGTAGAAGTCTCGCGGCGTTTGAGTCTGCGCAGGTTTTCATTATCTCGTGGGATCTCAACTATTGTGGCATCCCTGTCGACAATGGTTTCAATGAGTTCTACACGGCTGAGAGCTTCGCACTTCTCCTGCGGGACAAGACAATAGCGACAGTGGGTTTTCTGGCATTGGACAAACTCTCGAAGCACGGTGGTCAACAGGGACTCTGGCACCATCTCCGTGAACAACAGGAACAATAGCAGACATATTCTGTCTATGCTTCACAGAATGCACCAGACCGTCCCACTCTCCCAAAGATATATCCTGCCTAACACCCCTGAAGGCAACCATTACTGGGACTACATCGGGAGTGCACTTCCATGTTGCCCCTGCATGATGAAAAGAATTGGTTGGCACCAGACATGCGAACCACATCGCCGAAGTCAGCTAGTGTTCCAAAACCATCAACAAACTTCTGGACATCGCGCGCCATGGTTGAACCTGGGCATGGGGCCGGAAAATCCTCTGCCTCTTGGTCCTCCTACACCTCCTCATCACTATTCTGGCAGGGCGGGCTGGGCGTTTCGCCTGAGACTCCTTTGCAATGTGCTATAAGTTGTCAACATGGGCCAAAAAAAAGCTCTCGCCTCAGCGCCGCGCGCATTCGATTCAGAATCCTGCAACAGTTACAAAGTTACAATGACGCAAGGGTTCTCAAAATGGTGCAGGATTTGAAGCCCTTGTGGAGCCCTTTTGGGGGCCCCTGGGGGGCCCCATGGGGCTTTTTGGTGGCCTCTTGGGGCCTTTTGGGAGCTTCTCGGGGCGAAGAGCTAAGACTTTTCGGTTCGTGGTCCGCCTCTTGGGGCAGTTGTGGGGCCCTCTTGGGCCGTCTTGGGCGCTTCTTGGGCCAATGGTGGACAAATTCAAACTGATGTTATCTCTATGCGACCATTGATGCTATCGGCCACCGCATCGAAACTCTTCAACAATCGGGCGGCGCACGAGCGCGGCTCTCTCCGATATGACAGAGAGCCGCAGATTCAGAACAAGCCGAAATCCCTAAGTAAGAACAGTCTGTGATCATAATCGTTCTTAGTGCGATCCGCGCAGCTCCGAATACTTGAACTTTGAAAAACGCGCGCAGACTCACGCTCGCCGCAAGCAAGTATAATGAGATATGTGGCCTCGAGGCGGCCTCGCGTGTACGCATATGGTATATGCGCATGTAATACTGAGGTGGTGGCAGAAGGAACCGCGGGACACGCGTGCACAACGAGTCTGTGCAAGATCAAGCGCGCCCCCAGCAATCGAGACCTAAGCGCAAAAATATCAATATGTGCGAAGCGATGTGTTCACATATCAGGCGGGGCGCTCACTCGACGACTGCGAAACCCTTGCCTGGTTTTGGGAACAAGCCCCGGCGCGAGCGGCCAAGGTTCTCACGGCCAGCATCGCCGCGAAATTTCTTGCAGGCTGCAACCATCGCGCGTGGTACCTGGGTTTGCTGGAAGCACCCGCACACGATGCAAATCGTCGCCGTCTTGTAGCTCCGCACCGTGTGACTCGGATGGATCCCGGCAAAGAAATGGGCCCAACCTCCAATCCGAGGGCTGCCGTCGCGAAAGATATCGCTGTCCCACGGCGCATCCGCAGGCCAACCCCGCTGATTGGCAGGACCTCCGCCAGCAAGAACTGCTGCGCCGGCATTGCCTGCCTGATCTTCGCCATCTGGAACTGCTGAACCTGCAGTGCTAGACTGATCAGACTGGTCATCGTCGTAAGCGAAGGAATCGATGGAATCCAGATCCGCTGCTACACCAGCGACACGAGCAGGGCCATCTTGAAGAGCAGGCATACTGAGCATGTCGGGAAAGCGAACAACGGGGCGAATATTCTCACGCGGGCCGAGGTTTTCGCGCATAGCACGACGGAACATGATGCGGTATGGCTGGGGGCTGCGGCTGCGGCTGCTGGCGCACTCCGCCTGCATCGCTTCGCGAATGAGGAGGGCGATGCCGAACAACTGCAGAAAAAAAAAAAAAAAAACACGGATGGCGCGGCGAAGAAGGTTTGAGCACAAAATGGTTACGGACGGCGGGGCCAACACACCGGGCTCTCGCCTCAACGCCGCGCACGATTCAGAATCCTGCAACACTTATTAGGACGCAACAAGAACGGAATGATGGACAAATGTGGCTTGGAGGCCTCTTGGGGACTCCGTGTGCTGTTTTGGGCCATGTTGAGGTCTTCTCGAGCAGTCTTGGGCGCATATTTGGCCGTTTTGGAGCTCTCGGGGCTTTTTGGGTCTTCTTGGAGGCGTCTTTGGACAATGTTCGAGGCCATCTGGGGTTATCTTGTCCGTAGTCTTGGAGCCGATGGGGACTCAAAACAAAGCCCTGCTGCATCCTGGGTTCTCTCTGGTCCTCCTCCTCCTCTTCCTCCTCCCCCCCCCTCCTCCCTCCTCCCTCTGGGACGCGGTCCCGCAGACAGGTTTGGTGCCCGAGGTGAGCCATCTGGAAGCAAGTTCTGCTCCAGCCACGCGGCGAATCGCTCTTTCGGGAGACACATGTCGCGGCGAAAAATATGGCAACCCTGCAAGCAAAAACGGCTGTGTACAAAACGTCCGCTGCCCTTACTCAGGGTTCCCAGCGCGTGAAATCGTTGATCTTGTATGGTTTTGCGAAGCACATTTCCGTGGCTGATCTGGATTTCGAGGTGTTTTTATTTCGGATGAGTTTTGGAGAATGCAATTTCAATTCCCCTGCCGTTTCAAGTGTTTTTTCCCCCCCCCCCGAGGCTGTGTTTTATGTAATGTAAATTCGTGCACCATGTTTGGGTAATCTTGGGCTGTTGGCAACCAACAATTGTTTTGATGATCGAATGTGGCACTATGTTTATATGTTTTGTGCGTTGTTTGCTCTTGTTTTCGGTGAATTTTTGTCATTTTGAGGGGTCGACCACAAGCAAGGCGCCGGACAACCCTATGGGTGGGTCCGCACGTCACAATATATTGACAGTAAACTTGATGACTGTTGGGGGATACCTCATGGCTATGGTCCGCGCGAGCCCTCCAAGACCGCGTTGCAGTGCGGCGGCATGCTGGGAGGGCGTCATGTTGCCTGTGGTCACATCGGTCCAGGAATGCACCTCGCGGACAATCTCGCGAAATGGTACTTGACCGGCACGATCCCTGTGGGGGCCAGTCGTTCTAGTGTCGTCTCCGCCCCGCAAGTGTCCCACCGCACATCCAAGAGCGACCCATATGAGTCCAAAGATAGTAACCCCAATCCAATGGCCTCGTATGTCGTACTCGGGTGTAGTCGGTGGAGGCTTGTGTTTTGTCGTCGTAGCTCTGCGTGGGGTCGGGGCGACAGTATATCGTATCGCATGTGTCCATGCATTATGTTTTCAAAGACATTTCCAATTGGAGTAGGTGGGTGGACTTCAGGAGTGTAATAGCGCGGGGATGTAGGGTATGAGTAAGAGTCCTCAGCTGGAGCAGATGTGTCGTTGCAAATTTCCTTGCGGTACTGCGTAGTTATGTACACTCCTCCGCGCAATGCCGCTGCACCCTGATGTTCCACCGTGTGTGTAGTCCACCTGATCGTGCCGTGGGTGGTGAGGAGTAGAGCTAGAGCTGACCACCATAGGCCAGCTCCGCTACCAAGTTTGAAAAAGGGCTGGAAGGCCCAGCCAACAGCTTCGCCTCAGGCGAAGCCAAGCTCCCGCGCTGTTGTATCGTAATAACGATGGTCCCAATGCAAGAGGAGATGCCATCTCAGGCAAGAGGTGTTACCTTGTGGTCTCGATAGCGATTGTGTGCCTCGCGGTGAGGCACAGTCAAATCTGGGCGGCCGGCCGCTTTGAGCCAAAGCGGCCGCGGGCGCTCGCTCGTTTCCACTTCTTACCTTACGTCCCCCAGCTCGCTTTAGAGTCAATGTATGCATGTGCGCAGTTCCTGCCGATGCGCCGTCAGAGCGCGGCTCTTTGCTTACACCTCCCCCCCGTGGGCTTGCAAATAGCCTCACATGTCCGAGATCTCAATAAGGAATGAGCGCAAACCCCCACCAAGACTCGTCGCGAATATCTGCACATAGGATTGAAGTGGGACGCTGACTAAAAGTTATCCCGTTGTCGGAGCAGCGAGCTGCAGAACGTATCTCTTAATTACTGGTTTTGCTTCGCGAACTGACCATTCCCATCCCCCCTTCCCCCCCTTCTCCGCCCAACCTCCCCCTTCCTCCTCGCCCCCCGTCCCTCCCCACTCTACATGTACTCAATATGAATACTAACTTCGTCCTTCCCCTGATGACGGGTTGGGAGTGTTCGCCCCCCCCTGCGTACTGTTTTTTAACACACAGGATTCCCCGGAGTTGGGTTTTCGCCTGCATGTTGTTTCAAAATGCTGCTCTCGCTGAGGCGCCGGCCTCATTTTCGGGCCCCGCTCGTTCCGAATCGTGCTCCCGTTGCAGCGCTGGCCTCATTTCCGTGCTTCCGCTCGTTCCGATCGTGTTCCCGCTGCAGCGCTGGCCTCATTTCCGCGCTTCCGCTCGTTCCGAATCGCGCTCCCGCTGCAGCGCTGGCGTCAGTTCCAGGCCCCGGCATGCAATGCAATGCTAGGTTGCGTTCCGCTGCGCGATGCCACGCCTTCAGCTGAAGCTGTGATATGCAGTGTTTCAGTGCCACGTCGTGCTATGCCATGCTACGCTTTGATGTTCAACGCCATGCTATGCAATGTTATGTTCGGGGCCGCTGTGCGATACCATGCTTTGCGTTGCAAAGCTTTGTGATGCAATTCTTCACTACGCCACGCCACGCCATGCTGTGACATAGTACGCTTTGCGGTGCTCTTCTACGCCATGCCACGCCGTGCTCTACAATGCATCGCGTACCCTTTCGGGACCATTGCCCTGCTCGACATCCGACTGTGCGAGTAGAGAGGGGATCTACGACATGGTAAGGGATGGGAGGGAGGGGTCGGATGTCAGATATGACGCGAGCGCACCTAGCTTGCCCGTCCCCCCTCCTTCCGTCCCCCTCCTCGGTGGACTCCCCAACATCCCACCCCGCCGTGCCCGGCGGCAACACGTCGGCGGGCGGGGGCGCCCAGAAGAACACCGGCATCCAGCCGCCAGCGGAGCACATGTTGGGCAGCTGGTCCAGGCACTTAAACCTCAGTGAAGCTCCCCTGCTGCTCCTCCTTCCCTCATCTCCCCATCCCTTCCCTGCCTTTCCAGGAAGGCTAAGAAATGGCAGCATGACGTGTTTCAGAAAATCTTGGTCGATTGTCCGTAGGTCTGGAGTCCCACCAGCCCTTTGGGCGTGAGTGGTTTAGAGAGCTCTCTGTCCTCAACCCCCCTTCTTCCCCTTCGGGGAGGGGTTTACCCCTCCCCCTACCCCCGCCCCCTGGGCCTGGAGAGGGAGTCCCGAATGGTGGCAAGGGGGTCTTTTTCGACTCCTGGGAGGGCCAAAAAACGACGACCCTCACGAGGATTCTGGCCCCGACGGGGGGACCGAGTTTGGCCCCTCTGCTCTTCTTTGAAGCCAGAATCATTGATATTACTACGGTTTGGGCCCCATTTTGGCGTCCTGAGGGGGTCGCGCTCATCTTCCTTCATAGCAAAATCAATGATTTTACGAAGGTTGTGGGCTCATTTTGTCCTTCTCAGGGCGCAGCTCTCATTTGCGCTTCTGAGGAGGTCGCAAGAGGCCCCAAGATGGCCCCAAGAGGCCCCCAGGAGGCTCCCAAGAGGCCTCCAAGAGGCCCCCCAGAGGCCCCCAAGCGGCCCCAAGAGGCCCCCAAGAGGCCCCCAAGAGGCCCCCAAGAGGCCCCCAAGAGGCCCCAAGAGGCCCCAAGAGGCTCCAAGAGGCCCCCAAGAGGCCCCACGAAGAGAAACGACTCACACCAGAAGAGCCCGAACGGAGGCCCGAACGACTTCTCACACCACGAAACGAGAGGCCCGAACGACTCACACCAGGATTCACACCACGTCATCACACCACGAAACGACTCACACCAGGACGAGGCGCCCGAACGACTCACACCACGAGGAGCCCGAACGACTCACACCACGACGCGGGCCCCGAACGACTCACACCACGAGGAGCCCGAACGAGTCACACCAGGAGGAGGGGCCCGAACGACTCACACCAGGATGAGGGGCCCGAACAACTCACACCACGAGAAGCCCGAACGACTCACACCAGGACGAAGAGCCCGAACGACTCACACCACGAAGAGCCCGAACGACTCACACCAGGAAGAAGGGCCCGAACGACTCACACCAGGACGAGAAACCCCAAACGACTCAAATCACGAGGAGCGCTTTCTCTCCCTCCTCCTCCGCCTCGTCCTTCTCCCGCTCCCCCCACAAGGAGGATGTACAAGAAGGCGGGAGGAAGGAGGAACAGGGGAGATATGCGGGGGCAAGCGGACACACGCCTGAAAAACACGACTGTCGGCATGCTTCGCAAGAGTTGCTGTTGTGAGATGGGCTGGTGGGGATACGCGAAGCGTAAAGAATTGGTAGCACTCCGGAATGTCAGGGTCCTCCCTCTCAAGCTCCTCCTCCTCCTCTTCGTCCTCCGTCGCCTCCTCATCGCTCATCATCCTGCAGCATCGCGGAGTCAGCACGGTGGGGTGGCGTTCAGCATGGTAGGGTGCCATTTCCCGCGGCAGAGAAGTCAGCAGCGCTCATCATCGAACTCTCCCGGCGCCAGGACATTGCAGCGAGGCTCACCTACCTCCTTGGCCCAGGTTCGAGCGTTGGGGATCGAAGAATGCGTGGACGCTCTTGGACTTCCTCTGGACGCCTGCGGGGGCCCCGTGAACACCTCCAGGCCAACCTCTGTGCCGACCGTAGTCCCACGCATCTGGGGGACTATTCTCGATGTTCTAACTCTAGCGGCCGACCACAGGCTTCAGGGCAATAAACAAGACATGTCAGGAATGGAACGTCCCACTGGGGAGGGGAATACTCTTCTCCTGCCCCCGCGTCCTCCTCATCCTCCTCCTCCTCTTTATTCCTCCCTCATTCCTCCTCTGATCACTGCTTGTGGGACAACCTGGCAGGCTGGGGGGCATGCCAATATCTAACCCGATTCTCGCCCCAGAAAGCGCATTGCACTTCCCGCACACCACCAGCTCGATCCGTACGATCATGTGCTTGCGCAAACGTGAACACGCCAGTGAGGCGAACGGAGTTCCGAACGTGAGCACTGGTGGTAGTCGTGTAGCCCATTGACAAGAAGTTCGAAGTATCTAGACATGATGGGTGCACTATTCAGTGGTAGTGGCGCCTCACTTCACGGCGCCCAACTATGGTGCAGATATCGAGGGGGCAATTAAGCAGAAACGAAAACTATCCCTCCCCCGCCCTCCAAATGATCGTGCTCGTGCTGGCTGCTGCCTGTGCTCCCCCTCCCCCCCTTCCTCCTTCCGGTCCCCCTCGTTGTCCGCCACATCCCTCCTCCAACCCGCCTCGTGCGGAGGGGTGCAGGCGGAGGCAGAGGAGGAGGAGGAGGAGGAGGAGGAGGAGGACTTTCCAAGGGACTTGAGGAGGAGGAGGAGGAGGAGGAGGAGGAGGAGGAGGGGAGGAGGAGGAGGAGGAGGAGGAGGAGGAGGAGGAGGAGGCAGACGGCGACACAGAAGATCAACACGAGGACCTCTACTGGCCAATTACTCGAGTCACACCAAGCCGTGGCGGCCAGGGCCCTCCGACAGGCCCCAATGCCAGCTATGGTTGTGATTCTTGCTTCGCGAAGCGCGAGTATCTTCGCGCCTTTGCGCCACAAACAGAATCTGATGAGCAGGCCCCTGCGGCGCCCCGTCGCAACGTTCTTGGGCCCTTTTGCACAGATGGTGCTCCAAGCAGTCTCCTCGACCTCGTCCCCACATGGGTCATGTCATCCCTTCCCGCTCCTGTGCGCACGATGTTCGACGGTGCTGTAGTTCAACCCGCACTGAAGCAGAGGACTGTCTAGGGGGCCACCGACCACACTGATCGGTTGGACGAGCGACACGGGATCCTGGGGGGTGCTCGTTTTAGAGGCACTTTTGGGGGTTTGCGGCGGCATCCCTTGAACCGTGAGCGGGAGCCATGGTTGTTTCGAGCCAGCAGAATTTTATAGCAACAGTAGCTTGCGCACCCCGCCCCCGCCAAAAGGCGAGGCCCAGCCCTCAGGACGACGCAAGGACGCGAAGTCCAGGTGCATACGCACGATTCCATGGCCTAGCGCACAATGATGGTTAAACTGTGAAGGGGGAACGGAGGAGGGGAGAACGCTCAACTTGATCGGTTGTGCCAGAAACAAGGCAACATATGTGCCCTGCGTAAGCTCGATGGCTTCACGCTTCACGGTTCTAGGCATATGCTCGTTCAGCCTCGATGCGAACTTGGACAGCCGGGATTGCATCAGAGTGCAAAGCTGTCGCGCTCTAGATCTCCAACATGTAAGACGGGAAACGGTGGTTTCAGGGCGGGGATGGGGGAGTGGAAGACCCTATCCCGTCCCTGCACGACCCTGCTGCCGACCGCACCCTCCGGTCAGGCAGCTGAGAGGTATCCATGAACTCACACTCAGTATGTATGTATCTTTCTCTCTCTCTCTCTCTCGCTTTCCTCCCTCCCCGTCCCCCTCACGGTATATCTTTGAGCGTGGTGTTGTTCGCGGACCCGTTGGCTCGTCTTGTCTTGAAGATAAGGAACTGCGAATCGCCTCGTGGCGGCCCGTGAGGCCACGAGCTGCCAGAGAAACCTTGGCCTTCGATCCCCTCCGACCCTTTGATCGACGACGCAAACGACGGCGGGCGGCGGCAGCGCGCGAGCGGCAGGACGCGCTCTGCCTCGGTGCCGCGCCAGCGCGTCGAAGCGCGGGGGTCCCGGCAGCGACGCTAGCGAGGCCCACTGCCGTGTCCATTCCGGGGAGAGAGCGTGGCGAAGCGAAGCGGCGCGAGGGTGGGCAATACTGGTCAGCATGAAACAGAAATGCGCGTGCAATCGGGCTGCATCGGTACGGGGTCGGAATCAAATCAGATCGGCTGTGCCAGGATGCGCAGCAGCCCCATACAAGCATCGCGACGCATCGGATCGTCGGAATGACAGGATCGAATCAAATCGAGATGGCTGGAATGGATGTCGAATTTGGGTCTATCGGATCGAGATGGACCCTGGGGGGGCATCGAATCGGCTCTCCACGAAATGGAGGGTCAGGTCTCGTTAGCCAGTTAACCCTCAAAGATCTTTAGATCCCACCCAACAATGGCAACGAAGTGCCCTTATTGACGGACTGGGGCCCCACCAATAGCGGAAACTAATTGTTCACCCGCGGCACCCCACACAACACCGACGACGACGACGAGATGACAGAGGAGATTGTGAGCAACGCCTTCGGCGAAGAATGCGTCGATCTATATTGAAATCCTCGTACAAACGAGCTCAACATTCCTCCGTCGTGCAGGGTAGCCCACGGAGCATGATTCCCTGAGAGAAAGAGCCCCCAAACACTGTACACCCCGCCCAACATTAGAGGGAAAATAATCTCCGCCACGAAGACGACGACGCTTACGACTACGACGAATAGTACGACTACAATTGCGACTCCAACCAAGACGACGACGGGCAGGACGAGGAGCAGGAGGACGAGGAGGATCAGGAGGATGACAATGAGAAGGAGGAGCAGAAGAAGAAGGAAGGAGAAGGAGGAGGAGCAGGAAGGACGAGGCTTCGCCCCCGCCGAGAGAAACAGGGGGGAGCAAAACTAAAGTCCTCCTGAGGTTGGCCCAGCGAGTGCTACACACATTTTGGGGCATGAGGGTCGGTGAGGGGGCGGGGGCTGGGCAGGAGGAGGCAGAGGAGGAGCAGGAGGAGAAGAAAGAGGCATATCGAGGATCGAGGTTCGGGGGTCAAGATTTCTGAACGGTTCGAGCACCCTTCGAAGCTTCCCAGGGCGCCCTCATGGCCACGGCTGGATCCGCTCCAGCATTCGAGTCAGAGCGCGCTCCTGGACAGACTCGGGGGCCGATGCGGGAGCGCCCCGAGAGACAGGGAGGTCCAGATCTCCCCAGGCGTCCGGCGTTGTGATTCGCCCAAGGCTGGCGCGTGCTGCTCCAATCTAGGCGGACTCCAGAGGCTCGATCCAGGATGACTGATCCTGGAAAGTCGTCGAGAGCTCCGGAGGGGGGCACGTGTGGAACGAAGCACGACGTCTGAGGTTCGGAGTCAGTGACAGGAGAGGCAGGACAGAAAGAAGGGATGGAGAGGGGAGGAGGCAGAGAAGACAGAGGGATGAGGATCGAGGAAGAGGAGGCTCTCACGGGGCGCGTTCTGACAGGATTTCAAGGGCGAACCCAGCCGTGGCGAGGAGGGCCCTCCCCCCCCTAGGCTCAGAAAGGCGATAACGAGGGAGGCGTGTTGCTCCTCCCCTGGGGGACATAAAGGGAAGAGGGGAGGGGAGGCGGAGCTCCATGGCGGAGCTGTCCGTGGCAGCGGCGCGGAAATAGAGAACGCGCGCGCGCGGAAGCGCAGCCTGTACACGCCATTGCACGCGCCTGCTGCGGGCGACCGCACGCGCCCACGCGAAAGGCGGCCATTCGCAGAAGCGACTGCCGACGCTCCAGAAAACGCGTCATCACGCCAACCTGCGCTTGCCCACAGAGGTCTGCTGCGGACCCCGGAAATTCTGAATACAAAGATTCTGACCCCTCGCTGTTGTTTCCGCCGGCGGATGCCGGTGCCGTTTTATTTCCACCGGCTCTTCCGCCGAAACTCGAGTGCGCCGAGGGAAGGGCCCTTTCTGGAACGCCCCCTGTGGATCGCATGGCGTTCGGGGCCGCCAAATTACTGCGAATGTCAACGCGGCGACCATATGTTTAGCTATCCTTCGCCCCGTGGATCGTCGAAGCTGGCCCCCACGATGCAAGGAGATCCCATGACCACAGGATTCGCCCGCGGATGTTCAGTCGCTGTGCGAATGAGCCCCTTGCAAGTAGGGCGCGTGCCGTCGTCGATCGTCCGCGGCGGCGTTGATTCCGGGTGCGTCAACATGACGCCTTTACAACAAATGATAGTAAGCGTGGACCCCAAACAGCGATATCTTGAAGTCTACGTGGAGCAATCTAGGTGGTGCAATGCATGTTGTGCAATATCGGTGGTGCAATCTATGTGGCACAAAGCAATGCAAAACCATGCAAAACCATGAAAAGCAATGCAACGCCATGAACTTTTGAACGCACATCAGTGCAACTCAATGCAATGCAATGCAGAAGAACCAACAGCAATACAAAGCAGTGCATAGCAATGCAAAGTAATGCGAATATATGCAAAACGATACAAAGCAAAGCAATGCAAATCAATGCAAGACAATGCAAGGCAATGCATAACATGAGAAGACATGTACTGTGATACAAAGCAACGCAACACAGTGCGAAGCAATGCAATGCGAATCAATGGAAAGCAATGCGCTGCGATGCAAATAGATGCGCAACAATGCCTTTCAAAACAATGCAAAGCCATGCAACCCAATGCATCGCAATGTATAGCAAAGTAGAGACATGTAACAATGCAGATCAATACACAGCAACGCACAGCAATGCAGCCCAATGCAGCGCAGTGCAAAGCAATACAAAACAACACAACATAACAAACAGCTATGCGAAGTAACGCAAGGCAAAACAAAGCAAATCAGTGGCACTACTCCTGCCCCCTCCTTCTGTGCCTCTAAGCCCTCTTCATGGCTGGGCCGATCAGCCGCTGAATACGGGTTGCTCTCGCCACGCATCGAGCGACGGAGGCCATGCCTCCGCCTCGCCCGACGGGCGCCGAACGAGTATTCCCGTGCTTTCTTGGTGCTCGGAACTCTTGCTGGTGACTCCGGCTAAAGTGGCCGCAGCACCCCCTCCGGCCACGCCTGCAGCCCCGCCTCTCCCCCGCGCGCGGCGGCCCCTCGGAGGCCGGCCCCCGCTCGGGGGGCCACCAGACCCACCTGGCACCAGCTGGCAGCAGCAGCCCTGGTCTTCTGGAATTCGAAGAACAAAATGCTTGAACTCAGGAAAAAAAACAAATTTCTGGAATCCGGTTTTCTGGACTCCAAAATCAGCTTCTTGAAACCAGTTTCTTGAACTCAAAACCAACTACTTGAACGCCAAAAAGCAATGTATTGGAACTGGTTCTTGGAATTCAGAGAACCCGTTTCTTGACACCAGCTTTTGAAATTCAAAGAACCAGCTTTGGAATCCAGAGAACCAGCACCAGCAACAGGGCAGAGACGGCAGCGAGGGCGCCGGCGAGAAGAGCGGCCAGAGCAGCAGCGGGGAGCCAGGATCGGTGGGAGCAGAAGCCCGAGCGGCAGCCCGATCATAAACGAATTAGAGGGGGAAAACGGCGGCGTGCAGATCGACCGAGCGGATCGATGGTCGGGCTCAGCATGTGGGCTGCGCTCGCCGCCCTGCCGCCTCCAGCACCAGCACCTCCGCACCCGCGCACGGGGGCTGGGGAGAACGGACCAGGCTCTCCAGCACGTTGACCTCCGCCGCCTGCGCCTCCGACGTGCCCTCCAGTGCAGAGGGGGCGCTGCTGCGGTGGCCCTCCGACTCCTCGATCTCCAGCGCCCGAGTAGCCACGAGCTCCGCGATTTTCGCCATGTAGAAGCCCGCGTGGGCCTCGGCTGCGGCCACCGCGCTAGCGTCGCCGCCGCCTGCGCCCACGCCCTGGAGGCTGACCGCAGCACGCCGCGCCCCATCGCACAGGTTGCTCGCCTTGGCGCGGACCACGTGCGCCTCCGCAGGGCAGCTCCGAGCGCGGATCAGGCACCAGCCAAGCTCCGAGAAGAACGTCATGTGCGCGGGAGCCTGCATCCACGCGGGGCCCATGGCGACACAATCCTGAGGGGCAAACGATGAGGGGGGACTGCCATTTGGGGGGGGGAACACCGACCTGGAATCGGCGATACATCGCCGATAGATCGGGCGGGGGGTGCCTGCCGGACCCCTATCGGCGATTCATGAGCGATTGGGGGTCGATGCGTCCCCCATTCTGCCCATTCCCCCCTACCGTTGCCCCCGAAATCCGCCAGCCACTCGACCTCGGGAACGGCGGCTTTGACGCGCTCCTCCTCTCGACGGCGAGCGAGGGGGGGAAATGAGGAGAAGGCCTTCTCAGAAAGCGATGGGACTTTTCAGAAGCCCTCGCGCCTTCTGAGAGGTATTTTTCTGTCTTAGATGAAGGCTCAAACAACTCCTCAGAAGGCCAGGTGACTTCCGACCCTTCTGAGAGGCCTTCTCCTTCTCACTTCCCCCCTCGCTCGCCGCCGGTCCTCCCTGGCGCTCAGGGCGCGGCCGTACACTCTGGCCAGCAAAGAGCTCACCATCGATGGCTCTGCCGGCCTCGGTGGGAGGGCGCCCTCTGCACCCCAGCGCCCCATCCTGGCTCGGCCGGCCCCGGGCCCGGGATCGGCGTATGAACACTCCCATCCCGGCCAGGAAGAGCATAAAAACGGCCCTGGACCAGGATGAGCCTGGCCGGCCAGGATTGGCGCTGCTGCGTGCGGCAGGTTCGCGTCGTGAGTCGTGGACGGCGCAAGCCGTCCACGACTGTGTGCCGTGGCTTTCTGAAAAACGGCCCCTGACGCCGTGTGCATCGCTCAAAGGCCGCGGCTCTCTGACAACCGAGATCGGCTGACTTTTGTTGCCGAGCTCAGGCCGCTGGTAGTCTTCGGCCTTGAGCGACCGCGCACCCAGACATCCGACGGTGCGATTCCTTGAATCCACACCCAAGATGCCTCGACCACTTCCTCAGGGGCAGCGTTCGCCCAAAACCTATGATTGATTGGCCCCGGTGACCGAAAGCTATACCGGCGGAGGTCTGAGCCTGGCGCCGACGCCACGCCGACACGACGCACGACACGACCCTCCAATGGCGGGCGCCGCCCCCGCCTCGGGCGGGCCCAACGGCCATCGCCGACGGCGACCAGCGGCAGCGCTCTCGCGGGCAGCGCCGCACCGGGCTCGGGCTGGCTCAGCGGCAACAGCCGCGAGTCCCGAGGGCCCTCCGAAACCGCGCGGGGCGAGGGCGGGGCGGGCGGCCGCGCGGGGGTGTGGCGATGCCGCCCGCGCACTGCCGGCGGCTCCGCCTCCGGCTCGTCCTGGGGCTCCAGAGGAAGAGGGTGATGATGCTGCTGCTGATGCTGCTGTTCATGGCGATCATGACGATGATGATGCTGATGATGATGATGATGATGATGATGATGCTGGTGATGATGAAGGTGGTGCTGGTGATGATGAAGGTGGTGCTGGCGATGATGAGGTTTGTGACGATGATAAGGTTGGTGACGTTGCTGATGATGCTGCTGATGATGCTGATGATGATGATGATAAGTCGGATGGATATTATGATTAGGAGTATGATGATTCTTACGACGGTGATGGTGGTGATGATCAGGTTGGTGATGATGATAATGTTGATGACGATGCTGTTGATCATGATGATGATGATGCTGATGACGATGACGATGATGATGATGCTGCTGATGATGATGCGAATGATGAGGTTGGTGACGATGATGTGGGTGACGATGAAGATGATGAGGATAGACGGATGATGATGACGTTGGTAACGATGCTGCTGATGATGATGCTGATGACGATACGCATGATTATGAGTATGATGATGCTGATAATGACGATGTTGATGGTGATGATGGTCATGATGTTGATGATAATTACGACGGTTTTGCTGATAATGATGAGGTTGGTGGCGACGATGATGATGTTGATGATAATCATGGTGATGATAACAATGACAGTGGTAATGTTGATGGTGGTGATGATATGGGGGTCCCGGAGACGATGATGTTGACGATGGTGGTGGTGGTGATGGTGAGGGTTATGATGATGGTGATGCTGATGCTGATGGGGATGATGCTGTTGATGACGATGATGATGTTGATGATGCTGACGATGGTGATGATGCTGGTGACGATGACGGTTGTGCTGGTGATGATGAGGTTGGTGACGATGATGAGGTTGGTGGCAATGATGGTGATGATGATGATGAAGATGATGACGGTGATCCTGGTGCTGATGAGGATGATAGTGATGATGATGACGATGATGAAGATGATTACGACGCGCCCTAAAGGAAGATGTCCTGGATACCCTTGACCTCTCAATACTTGATCAAAGAGACTTCGTCACACGGACGCAGGAGGAGGCGTTCCCCCCTCCAGCGTCTTCATAGATAATTCCTTCCTCACCCACTACCAAACGTGTCGCTGAAACGGGTTGGTGGTGATGAAATTATGACGATGATGATGACGACTACAAGTTAAATGATGATGCTGTTGATGATGATGACGGTCATGCTGGTGATGATGAGGTTGGTGACAACGACGATGGTGATGATGCTGGCAATGATCATGATGATGGTGATGATGCTGATAGTGGTGCTGATGATGGTGATGGAGACGACGATGATGATGACGACGGTGGTGGCGGTGATGATGAGGCTGAGGGTGGGGGTGATGGTGATGCCGATGGTTAAGGTAATGCTGCGGACGATGAGGTCGATGATGATAATGATGATGTTGCTAATGATGAAGGTGGTGCTGGTGATGGTGAGGTTGTTGACGACTATGAAGTTGGTGGCACCGGCGATGATGATCATGATGATGGTAGAGATAACGAAATTGATGATGCTGATGATGTTGATGATGAATATTCCGATGACGGTGATACTGATGATGATGATGATGATGGCGGGGATGCTGGTAATGATGCGATTAGTGACGATGATGATGATGATGATGAGGGTGATGAGCATGCTGATGATGGTGACGATGAGTCTGATCACAAGTACGAGGATAAGCATGACTACGACGGTGGTGCTGGTACGTATGAGGTCGATGACGACGATGCTGATGATGCTGCTGATGATGATGATGGTAATGATGGTGATGATGATGCTGATGTTGATGAAGGTGGTGATGGTGGCGGTGAGGACGGTGACGATGATGTTGACGATGGTGGTGGTGGCGCTGCTGAGGGCGAGGGTGAAGGTGATGGTGGTGCTGATGGTGATGGTGATGATGAATGATGGTGATAATGATGATGTGGTCGATTCGGGGCCATCTTGTTTCATCTTTGTGCGAACGGCGGAGGGCGGCCACGAGCGCTACGCCAGAAGTGAAGCACAGACTCGGAGAAACATTGAAGCTCAAGTGGGTGGGAGGGCCCAGGGTAGAACTTGAGCGAAATAATACGGCCGCGGAGTTGCCACAAATGCCGACGAGTCGCTGTGCGTGGTCGATTCGGGGCCATCTTGTTTCATCTTTGTGCGCACGGCGGAGGGCGGCCACGAGCGCTACGCCAGCAGTGAAGCACAGACTCGGTGCCACACGCTGGGTCTGACCAGGCGGCAACAGCCGAATTACTCATTTACCAAAAATTGTCTTATATCTCGCGGCGCGGGACAGATGACGAGCTTCGGCCACTATCATTTCAGTGCCAGCAATGGCCATTTCTGAAGGGATACCCTTAGCAGAGGCCCGAGCTACGGCGTCAAGAGCTGGACGCCCCAGGCCTCCCAGGTGACGTCTCTGAGTGCGATCGCAAAGGCCTTGGGCGCAGAGGCAACGACGAGCGAGGCACTCAAGGTCCCGCGCGCCCCAACCGACAAAGTGGATTCGCTGTCTCACGCGACCCGCATGCATGCAAGAGTCGAGGGAGCAGGAAGAGGAGGACGAGGCAAGGAGAGGGGACAAGCGGGGATGCCTCCAGATGAGGCTCGACTCAGGGTGCATACAAATGATCGGGACTCGGCGGAAGATACATTCAGCAATCAATTTGAAGGTGGAATCTGCCAGCGCGTTGGCAACTCGCACGGCACGACAGGCGGCCTCTGAGGCTCTATGTACGTGCAACAGAGAATCAACCTTGCGGACGCGCGCGGCCCCTGGCGCCCAGGTGTCCCAGGGCAAGGATGCCCAGACACCAAGCACAGCTGAGGCGCGCACCCAGCCAGTCAGAGCCTTCAAGACCTGAGGGTCAGCGAGGTCGTCGAGGCGGTGACGAGCAACGTTCACCGCTACGGTGCCGAGCCCGCGGGCCTCGCACAATCGCCGAACACGGTCGGGGACGCAGGTGCAGAGCATGATGAGGTAAGGCATTACAGCGGCATGCGCCCGCGCTCGTCGCCACAGGCGCCTCGCCCGAAGAGCCACATGTCGGTCCTCACGGGAGCCGTCTGCACCGGCGGCGACGCCGACAGCGGCCTCAGGGGCGGCGCCGGCAGCGAGAAGAAGCCCGTCCTCGCCATCGCGTCCATGCCGAGGAGGACCAGGGCCTCCGCGAAGGCGCGCCGCAACTGGTGTGGCGTGAAGGCGCAGAGGCTCTCCTCCGCGCGGCGCCCTTGCCGCAACGCCTCGAGGAGAGGCCAGAGGAGCGGATCGTCGACGATGACGCTCTCGTCGGTGACCCCCGTCTTGCCAGGCCTCGCGCTCGCCGCGTCGTTCGCCAGCAACGCCCAGTGCTGGTAGCCGTCCGTGGAGCCCGACCTCGGAGCGATCAGGGAGGCCGTCGGTAGGACTCGCTGGGGCGCAGGTATGCGTCGAACGCAATCCTCACGAGGGCCGCCTGCGACAGAAGGCCCTGAGACACCAGCACGCCCGCGATGGCGAACCTCGCGACCCTCGGCAGCGGGAGCCGCGCCTGCGGCGGCACAAGCTTCGCCCAGCCCTGGCGGGCCCGCAAGGCCCGTGGCAGCGGGCGGCTCCCCATCAGCATCGACGGCAACTGGTGCTTCAGAGAGGCCATCGTGACGCGGCCCGTCGCACTGTCGTGCCCGTCGAGGAACAGGTGGACGAAGGACACCACGAGGATCGCGACGAGCTCGACGCTGTTCGTGAAGTCCCTGGCGGTCCAGAGGCACCAGTTCAGAAACCTGAGGGCGGAGGCGCGGTAGTTCCTGCCCGTCGGCTCCGAGACCGCGTAGGCCTCCAGCACCGACAGTCCGCCCCGCAGGAGTGTCAGCGGACCAGGATGTTCCCGCTGGCCCCGCGCCGCCTTGATCACCTCCCTGGGGGATCCGCGGGCGGCGCGAGACGAGGTGCGACCCGACGTCCTCGAAGCTAGGGCCGGCGAAGAAGCCCTCCCTCGACGGCTTGTCCGCGACGTTCCTCTCTGACGGCACCCACCGCGCGAGCAGGCGCAGGCCGCGGGCGAGGGCCGCGCCAGCGATGCGCCGCAGGGCGCGGAGAAGATGACGGCTCCCAGACCGCCCCTTGCCGACCGAAAGGGCTAAAGCCAAATTGTCCACAATGCAGACGACGCGATGATGATGAGCACCCAGGGCCCTCGAAGCGTGATGGACGCTGAACCCCAGGGCCTCCGCCTCGTACTGAAGGATATCGCAGCCCCGTCGGGTGTGACGGCTAGAGTGAATGGTCTTCCAACCCTCGGCCCCGTAGATGGACTCGGGAACCTCGTAGAACCCACTGAGCCCAGACGACGAAGCAGTAGGAGCAGTAGACGATGTGTCGGCACGGCAACCGTCGGCAGCATCGTCTCGACCGTCGACGTCTAGGGCGTGTGATCTGGCAAGCACAGCATCCCCATGACGATACCTCCAACGTTCGGCGACTCGGCCGACCTCGGACGACAGCGTAGGGGAGACCTCCTTGACACAGACACCCTTGCCGAACGGCGACGCATCATAAGCATGCGCCCGTGGGTACCAGCGAGACCTTGTAGAGGCGCTCCAGAGCGGGATGAGGGCCACGGCAGCCGACAACTCCCTGACGACCGAGGGCCACAAGGGTCCAGGATGGGGTCCCACAGCCCCCATGAACCGATAGACCGCGTTAAAGATGCTCCGAACGTCGCGCATCAGGATCACCCCCCAGGTACAGTGGCCTACGAGCACGCTGAGGGCCCCAACAGAGGCCCGCCCACGCTTCAACAGTCCGAGAACGGCTTGACGAGTGCGAGCGAGGCGGTCAGGACGAACGCGAATGATCCCAGAGGTTCCGTCGATCTCCAAGCCCGTGAAGACACCCTTACAGACCGCAGGGGATAACTCCAAGACAGGCAGCCCGCGGGCAGTGAGAAGGTCAGCGACGGCACGAGGAAGGGACGCGGCTGTCTCCGC